CGACGTGGAATTCTAGAGGCAGAGGACAGTGCCTTCCAAACCAAAGCGTGTAAGTTGGGTACCCAGTGCTGGCCCGCACCGTAACGTTATCTGCCCATATCGCATATCGGAAATACCTCGGCCAGTCGCTATCCTTTCCTCTACACCACTTGGACAGCGATGCTATCAGCGACTGGTGGCCCCGCTCTACAGGCGCATTTGACTGAGGATGATAGGCAGTCGCTATAGACACTCTAGCTCCAGCTCTCTTGAATACACTCTGCACCTCATCTGCTAGTAACTCCGTTCCTCTATCCATCACTATCTTACTGACACATCTGTATCTAGATAGATACTCAAGGTCGAAGTTCTTAACTTCTTTTGCAGCCTTCGTCCTGATAGGTTTGCTGTCGACAAACCCCGTAAAGTCATCTCTGATGTTCACCACATAGTTCATGTTCCCCACGCCTTTCGGCATCTTCACCAGATCAATATGTACTTTCTCTCTCGGCCTAGTGGGGTAAGAAGGGTGAAGCGGTTCCTTATACCTAATAAGGGATCTCTTCTGGCAGTCCTCACAAGTCTCGCAGTACTTTTCGACATCCTTGTACTATCCTTCCCACTAATATAGTCTGCGAACTTTCTCATATGTACCCTTTACTCCTCTATGTCCCCCGACTACACCATCATGTAACTCAGTCACTATGGACTGTTTCTCCTCCGAATCATAGACCACTCGAAGAGGCATCCCTACTCCTATAGGCCGCTGGAACAAATGCCCAGCTCTAAGGCAATATTGCGCTGCCTGTCTCCGGATCTCCGAATCAGAGCTTTCCTCCCCTGACAGATGCAGTCCTATTGTGCGGTACTTACCTTCATAAAGGTTGACTAGGAAACGATCCGTCCGTCTAGGTTCGGCCATAGTCAGGGCAGCAACCGATATCGGTCGCTCTGCCTCAATGGAAATCCGTGAAAGTCCGTCGGCCACAGCGTTCTTTGCCCCTGAAATCCTCTCTACAGTATAGCTATAAAGTCGAATCCTGATCAGCCATCGCGCGATCGTAGTATCCGTCAAACTGAAATCCTTCTGTATGACTGAAGCTACAGCTGTAGGGTCCACCCTAAGAACGAATCGTCTCCCGTAAATGTAATGCCTAAAGGTATCTAAGCACTGTAGAACAACCAACAACATGTTATTCGTTAAAACAGTACATTCTTGTATGTACTATTTTCAGACGAATTTATGACACAATGTATAGTCAAATGGTATTCCAGTTCCGGATACATCTGAACTTGGAGTAAAATCAGCTTTGAGACGAGGAGCACAATCAGTACATATATCTGCTGCGCTCCTCTCGTGGTTCGGATGTGTTCAGATGTGGAACACCACAGCAGAGTATATTACACTGTGTTATACGCCTCTGAGTCAGTACATGTATCTGCTGCCTCAGTACATATATCTGTTGCGCTCCTCTCCTGGTTCGGATGTGTCCAGATGTGGAACACCACAACAGAGTAATATATTACACTGTGTTATAATTTCACTTGTAGATGAGCATCATACTCATCCAAATCAAAACAGTATAATGACATGAACTCGAGTTTGTGAGGAGTACAACGAATTGTGGCTCTTCACAGACTTAGAGGACTAGGATGACTTGTATTTAGAAGTGTGAGGACCAGAATGAATTGGAGTTCTGCACCGATGACCGTGCACATTTGAAGGGCGAGAGAGATAGAAAGAAAGAGAGAGACAGAAAGAGCAAGAGAGAGAGAGACAGAAAGAGCGAGTGACAGAGTCTCAGAGAGACTGTACTTAATTTTCTCGAGACGCCGCACAGTAGGCGCAGGGTCGAGCACACGCGTAGACCATCAACCTTGCTTTTTAAAACATTTTAGATGATCGTTGTAGGAGAGCAGCAAGGTAATGTGAATTTTCAAGATAAGCGAAGTTCGGATGTATCCGAGATCACAGGAGATAGACAGAGAGAGGAAGTCCGCAAGAAATTGTCGTGTACATTTGAAGAGCGAGAGATATAGAAAGAGAGAAAGAGACAGAAAGAGCGAGAGACAGAGAGTCTCAAAGAGACTGTACTTAATTTTCTCGAGACGCTGCCGAGCACACGCGTAGATCATCAGCCTCGCTTTTAAAAGCATTTTAGATGATCGTTGTAGTAGAGCAGCTAGGCAATGTGAATTTCCAAGATAACCGAAGTTCGGATGTATCCACAGTAGATAGACAGAGAGAGGAAGTCCGCAGGAAATGACAAATTAGCACGCCAGAGGACTGAGAGATGGAAACGACAAGCACCGTATAATCATCCACGACATTTCGTGTTACAGACGTATCCCAAGTGTCGAACTAGTATAGACCCTTCAGTTCGAAACTTCCCCTGTGTTTTTTGGGACACAATTCAAGAAGTATTTTTTCAAAGAGAGAGAGAGAGAGAGAGAGAGAGAGAGAGAGAGAGAGAGAGAGAGAGAGAGAAAGAGAGAGAGAGAGAGACAGAGACAGAGACAGAGAGAGACAGAGAGAGTGTGGATAATCGCACCGAATTTTCTTTTCATGTCGACATGTCGTACAGGAGACGCATGTTCGAGGAACACGCGAAAACCACAAGTGCAGTTGTACAAGAGCTGCTAGGTTTTCGTTAAGCGAGAGTAAGCCAAGTTCGGATGCATCCGAGATTATAGGGGAGAGGGAGTCCGAAGCAAACAGCAAATGAGCGCACTAGACACAGCTGTGGGTGTGTGTGTGCGCGTGCGTGCGCGCGCGCGAGCGAGCGAGAGAGAGAGAGAGAGAGAGAGAGAGAGAGAGAGAGAGAGAGAGAGAGAGAGAGAGAGAGAGAGCTGCAAGGTTTTCGTTATGCGAGAGTAAGCCAAGTTCGGATGCATCCGAGATTACAGGGGAGAGGGAGTCCGAAGCAAACAGCAAATGAGCGCACTAGACAAAGCTGTGGGTGTGTGTGTGTGTGCGCGCGCGCGCGCGCGCGAGAGAGAGAGAGAGAGAGAGAGAGAGAGAGAGAGAGAGAGAGAGAGAGAGAGAGAGAGAGAG